AGAGAGAGAGAGAGAGAGAGAGAGATCTGGGAGACCGAGACAGAAAGAGAAATTATGAGAGAGAGAGAAGCAGAGACTGAAGCAGAGAGAGAAACAGAGAGAGAGAGAGAGAGAGAGAAAGTGAGAGAAGGAAACAAAGAGTGAGAGGGAGAGAGAGAGAGAGAAAGAGAGAGAGAGAAGGAAACAAAGAGTGAGAAGGGGAGAGAGAGAGAGAGGAAAGGAGACATGGAGGAATATACAAAGATTAAGGAGAACATTACCTTTCATTTTACCAGCCAGTTCGTACTGCATCTCCGGTCGCGAAGTGCGGGCAGACAGGGCTGAGAAAAGACCTCCATGACCCCAGTAGCCTGAGTCATCTGTGAAGTTAAGTTTAATTTTAGTAACACTTTTACAGCCCTTGCAACAGAATTAGGTCATATAAGTTCCAAGATAACAGGTGATACTAGAGAGTAGCATACACAGAGAAAAAAGGGAGCGATAAGGACAACAGAAGTTTGATAGGAAAAAAGAAGCAAATCACACCAGAGTAAGATAAGATAAGATACATCTTTATTGTCCAGATCCCGGCATATTGGTTGGGTGTTCCATCACGCGTACACACACACACACACACACACACACACACACACACACACACACACACACATACACACATGCACACACATGCAGGCTTACAATCACATATGTAATATAAATGAAGAGCATTATAAACAATAATAATCTTAAGCTAGATACATACTCAATGTTATTCAGATGTATGCTCTATGGTCGTATGAATACTTATACAAGATGATTAAGATGAAAGAATTTTGATGGATGATGGTGGTACCTGCCATCCATCCATTCATCTGTGACAGTGAAAGAAAGAGTTAGAGTAAAGAAAAGCATGTGGACACAATAATAGTAATTTAGTACAAGGAAGTAGCAAGACATAAAGACAGAAACAACAGATAGAAAGAGCAGTAGTAAAACCAACCAGCAGCACCTTCCAAAAACCTGCAAGGACAAAATGATCTAGTATGACCTGTAAGAGCATGTGTGAGAGAATCTGGGAGCACATGTGTGTGAGTTTGCATGTGTCCGTATGTGTCTGTGTGAGTGTGTGTGTGTGTGTGTGTGTATGTGTGTGTGTATGTGTGTGTGTGTGTGTGTGAGTGTGTGTACGTGCATGTGTGTGTGTGTGTGTGTGTATGTATGTGCATGTATGTGTGTGCGTGTGTGTGTGTGTGTACGTGCATGTATGTGTGTGTGTGTGTGTGTGTGAGAGAGAAAAAGAGACATAGAGAGAAAGTGTGAGAGAGAGAGAAAGAGAGAGAGAGAGAGAGAGAGAGAGAGAGAGAGAAAGAGAGAGACAGAGACTGGAAAAAGGGGAGAAAAAAAATATAAACATCACTTTCAGCTTTGAAAAATTTATATTGATATAAAGACAGCAATCTACTCACCAGTACAATGAACAATGATATTGACATCGGTCTGAGCATCAACTGGATGAGTAACGTCTCCTATCACGTAGTTCAAGGCCAGACGTTTCCTCCGATCTCCTGCATCAGTTCCTCCAGCACTCTCTCTATCCTCATCCTCATCTGCATCCAAAGTAAGGACAATCCTTTGTTCTTCCTCCTCTTCATCCACCTCCATATCTTTCTCTAAAGCAATGTTTACAGACACATAGTCATTGGCCTTCCAGAGAGCATCCCTGAAAGCAAAAAAAACCCCCCCAATATTAACACAATATCATTATACGTATAATATGTTCAAAACAATCATGCAACTAAAAAAAGTATAGAATACCTGAAGCATTCTGATGGCTTCCCCCCCTCCCCACCCCATAAATATAATCAACATACAAACACACACACACACACACACATGCACGCACACATACACACATATGCTAACTCCTAGAATCTCAGGTCAGAGAAACAGTAAATTTGTACAAAATAACAGGATTCCATCATACAAAAAGAATTATTCAACAAAAATTGAAGCAGCAACAATACCAATTTCATTCCTCCCTCAACTTACCTTTTCTTGTTCTTTTCTTCCTTCCTTCCTCTCAACTCACCTTTTCTTTAACTTTCTTCCTTCATTTCTCCCTCATATCACCTTTTCTTTTTCTTTTCTACCTCAATTCCTCTCTTCACTCACCTTTTTTTCTTTTCTTCCTTCATTCCTCCCTCAAATCACCTTTCTTTTTTTTTTTTCTTCCTTCATTCCTCCCTAACTCACCTTTTCTTTTTCTTTTCCTCCGCTCGTAGACGAGCTTGTTCCTCTGCCTTCTTAGCGCGGTTTTCTGCAGCTTCTTGTCTCTAAGATGCATCAATTGAACAAGAATGTTATATAAAATAATCTTTTAAAGGCTGATATTATAATCATTAGGAGAGAAAGAGAGGGACAAAAAGACAAAAAGAGAAAAAACAATTTCCAAAGGAAACTTCACCTTCTATGAACAAAATGTGAGGTTCGAGAAAACAATTAAGCATGTCAATAGAAATGTTAAGTCAGTATGGCATCCCCAAATATCACATTCTACTGAAAGATTGAGTGAGAGGAGTGATATAGAGAGATGAACAGCCCAGGGGCAGAGGTGAAGAGAAAGAGAGATAGAGAAGGAGAGAGAGAGAGAGAGAGAGAGAGAGAGAGAGAGAAAGAGAGAGAGAGAGAGAGAGAGAGAGAGAAAGAGAGAGAGAGACAGAGACAGACAGACAAACAGACAGACAAACAGACAGACAGATAGAGAGAAAGACTGACGGAGATAAAGAGACAGAGAAAATGGGATAATGATTTTTAAAAAGTGTCTTATTTACAAACAAGTAGCTTATTTGTATCACATAAACATTGTAGTAGTTACAAAGCACTGGAACATACAAAATAGAAAACAGATAAAAATTTGGAACCACAAATCACACAAATCAACAACCCCCACCCCTCCTGTTGTGCATATACCTTCTTCTCTCTCTCCTCCAGTTCTTCAGCAGTCAGTTGTTTGCTTTGTTTCCTCTTCGGAAGGGCAATAAGCGCTCCAACACTCGTGCCAGCTCGACGCAGATTTCTCTCCCCTGTTGCCTTAGCTACTACGGCTTCCTTCTCCGCTGTAAGAATGGAAGACAAAATGACAGCCTAGTCAGTGGTGGGTTAAAGGGAGTTTGTCTTTGCGTTTTATGACACTTGCAACATAATAAGGTTATGTAAGAGGTGTTACAAAAGAGCAATAAACACAAAAAAGGAGGAGGGGAGATAAAGACAGCAGATGTTTGATAGAAGGAGCAAATCACACCAGAGCACCCCCCAGCCACCCACAAGTGGTGGGTTTAAGTAAAACACCACTATAATGGAAGATGAGTAAGATAAACTTTGTACATCCTCTATTGGTAGAAGCGGACCATGTACCATCATCAGCTTCTGTAATACCAAATATATATTGTATATACACTGTGGTGACCACACTCACATATACACACATACTAAACACACACACACACACACACACACACACAACATACACACACAAATACACATGCACAAACACATACACATGTATAAGATCACATTTAAAAAGTTTTTTAAAAGGCGGAACTTGAAAAGAAATCGAAGTCAATCACCAGTATGTCAGGGCTATGAGACACATAGAGGCAGCACACACAATAAAAATAGAAATATTTCTGCAACGTTTTGCACTCTAGTCAAACACTGCAGTCAATTGTTTAACAGAATGGGGAAAAAAAAAAAAGAACATAGAACATGAAAGGCTTAGGACAAAATGTTCAACAGTTGTAAAAGTAAAAGAAATCTGTAAGAGAACATTGTACTTTCAGTTTCACTATGATGCATACATCTTACAAAGATAGACCTAGAAACCACATTAAAAAAGCACTACCAATTACTTAAAAATGCGTACATCATACAAATTCAGGCCCAGAGATCACATAAAAAACATCACTTACAGTTACTTCATAATGAATACACCATTCAAATACAGGCCCACAAGCCACATTAAAAACAGCACTTACAGTTACTTTCATAATGAACAATACACCATTCAAATATACCCCAAGAGACCACATGGCAAACAGCACTTTTCCTTAGCCTACCCTGTATGAGCTCGTCAAAAGCTTTGATGTCGGCCGCTGTTGGCTCCTTCGAGTAATCCGTGCCCTCAAACATGTACATACTTTGAGCAGGTTCTCCATCATCATCCAACTCCATGGTTTGCTGCAAAGAGGAGAAAATATCAGCTGATTTAACATCATCATCACAATTCTTGGCGCGTACGTGAGATATCGTGAAATCAGGCTCTCGTCAAAATGAATCGAAAAAACTGACTTTATTCTGCCTGTCAAGTGATTTTTATCAATTTTTTCGTTTTCGACTCAACTTCTTTTAATTCCATCCAAAAACACAGTCCTGGGTGGATTTTACTGAAAATTGTTGATCAAAGGTACAAAAAAAGTAACGTTGCAGTTTCCAGGTACACTTCAGCTTTGGAGGTCACCAAATACCCCTCCCCTCCCCCCCCCAAAACGAGTACACCTCAAGAATAAACACAGGATGTAAACAGAAACATTGAAAGGCAGATTCAAACTATAAATTTTAAATCAGAATGTGTTCATTTCATTCGGGGGAAAAAAAACCTTTTTAACATTCCTACATCCCAACAACTCAAAACTCACCACAGACGGTCCAGCCTCTGCTTTTTCCCCATTATTTTCCTCCTCATCTTCATCCATTCCTTTCTCATCTTGATCCTCCTTCTCCACCACCCACTGCCCACCTTTGGAGCGGCCGAGAATCTGGGCAAAATCAACTGGTTCGTCCGCTTTGGCTTCGGTCAAAAGTTCATCCACTCCGAACTTGAGAATCTCCTGAAGCTGAGAAGATAAAGAGCAAAAAGTTACTTTCTCTGACATGGTCGTTCACCAAAGAACTTCTAAAAGATATTGAGAGAGAGAGAGAAAGAGAGAGAGTGGAGAGGAGAGAGGGAGGAGAGAGGGAGGGAGAGAGAAAGAGTGAGAGACCAGAAAGTCAGCTCTTCTGATACAGCTGTTCACCTTAGAACATCTCAGAAACATTGAGAGAGAGAGAGAGAGAGAGAGAGAGAGAGAGAGAGA